GAAATAATATACATGTACTGATTTCTTTCGAAAATCGACAACAATGAAACTATGATCCCTTCCCCGACACAAACGGTACATTGTGAAACAGGAAATTGTAGAGAGAAACAATCCCTATAACATAGGATACAACATTTTAATAAACAGTTGTTTCCATAAAATCAATAAAATCAAAAATATACGAAATAATATACATGTTCTGATTTCTTTCGAAAATCGACAACGATGAAATTATGATCCCTTCCCGGACACAAACGGTACGTTGTGAGACAGGAAATTGTAGAGAGAAATGAGCCCTATAACATAGGATACAACATTTTAATGAACAGTGCTTTCCATAAAATCAATAAAATGAAAAATATATGAAATAATATACATGTACGGATTTCTTTCGAAAATCGACAACTATGAAACTATGAACCCTTCCCGGACACAAACAGTACATTGTGAAACAGGAAATTGTAGAGAGAAACCAGCCCTATACAATTACTCCTCCCAGAAAGAAATTAATTAATAAGATAAAATTTGGTATGAAATAAAATTGTTACAAAAAAGTTAATAATACAAATTAAAACAGAATATCCAAACCAATCCAAGTAGCTTTTTTCTACCGTTACAATACTTTCCAGCAAAAATTTAATTCAAATTCAGTACTTTCTTGAATATTCACACTACCCCTCCCAGACTCAATCTCTAGATGCGCCACTGACTGCTCACGAGATATCCAATCTCATCCGGTCTCAAACCGGCGCCAATGAGCAGTGTGTGTCAATAAATTACATTCTTGCCATGGAATAACAGTACGATAGAGTTTCCAGACGGTCACCCGTCCATCCGCTCGTATCGTCTAACGTCTCTTAACTTACGTGAAACTTGGCAATTGTTTGCATAAAAACGTAATACAAATAATAACAAACTCGGTTATAAGTTTTATAAGATTTTTGAACTCTGAAGTTTGGATTAATAAATAATTTAAATATCGATCATAGGTATTTAATAATTCATAGAAAATATAATGAGTACCTTTTTAGTTTATAGATCGATAGGACAATAATATTACAAATAATTGCTAGGGTAGTCAATGAATATTTCAACAGATAAAATCTGAATAATCAATGTCAATAATAGAACTTATTTTTTGGAAAACCGAATATCGATGAAATAGGAATGAATAAGGATTCCGTTTATTTCAGATGTTCAGATGTTGAAAATAATATTTAATTTAATTTTAACTTTGTCCTGAATTCTGTTGAATTATTGTAATATAAGATTCTGGATGAGAATGATTTTATGTTTGGTAACCTTTTACTTATACAGGGTGTCCCAGAAATAAATGCAAATATTTTAACTGGTAGTATAGTTCAACCCCAGAAACACAACTATGAGGGTTTTTTCGCAAAAGAAAATTTTTAAAATTTGGAATTTTTTAAAAAGTTTTAGAATTTTTTTAGTTTTTAGTCAAAAAACATAATTTCTTGATAATATGGCAACATAGGTAGTAGATTAAATTTACAATAAAGAAAATCTAGAAAAGATCGAGTGGTTCTCAAAATTTTAGCAAAAAACGATTTTTTGGAAATTTTCGAAGCAAAATAACTCCGTTATTTTAGACTTATTTGAAAAATGATAAAGAGGAAATATGTTTCTTTTATCGAAATCTACCACCCCTTAAAATACTTGTACTTATTTCTGAGACACCCTGTATATATTATTTTTTTGTTTTTCTGTCATATTAATAAATGACTGGAAATGACTCAATAAATGTTTTTTTTAAGTCGACGATACATCGTCGAACGTTTAAACTAGGGAATGCAATCCCGCAAATGCTGGAATCACCGTGCGTGAATCAATGCGGAATTTACCGTGCGGGATCTGCGGGATCGACACCAGGGTATTCCCCTTACGGCTTGGCCATTAAAAATAAGTGAAACAAACAGGTTAATTGTTAGATTTCTTTCTGGCGTGCCTAAGTGAAGAAAAGCGTTTAACTAGTAACAATTACGTCAAATAAACTGCCGGACATAATTATCGGGACAAGCAAAATTTTAGGGTAAATTTAAAGTTGAATATCTCTTGAACTAAAAAAGATTTTGGGATGCGGTTTGGACCAAGTTTTAGATGCATCTATTATGATTAAAATACTATATGGTTTTCGAAAGTATGAAAATATATTTAGCGAATTCTCGTATACAGGGTGTTTTATACGAGTGAAAATTTGACCAAGAATCTTTTTTACCGCAAATTTAATTTTTAAAAAATCGAAATTTTTACCAAGTACGATTAATCTGTATTAAAATTAGAAAAAAATCATCGGTTTAATATTTTTTTTGTTTTAAGGAAAATACGACGTTTTTTATACGATGGTCCTAAATGGTACAAAAAGGTTTGTACATTCTGCATATGCCAAAAAATTATTGATATATGTAGAGTGTATCTGAAAGCAGATAACTAACACAAGTTAAAAAAAACTTCAACATCAGAATAATATTTTTATTTATAAAATAAGTAGATAAATTATACTAAAATTTAAGTTTATTTAATATTAAATATATTTTTTAAACACCCTCTATACATCGGTCCAAATTTCTGTACAGATAGTTTAAGATACACGCTATATCAATATATTGTGGGCCTATGCAAAATGTACAATTCCTTTTATACCATTTAGGACCAAATGTATGACTATAAATGCATATTTTTCAAAAAAAAATCGTAATTTCCTTAAAACAAAAAATTTAAAAAAAACACCAAATTGTTTTTTTCTAATTTCAATACAGGTTAGTCGTACATAGTTAAAATTTCGATTTTTCAAAAACTGTAAATTTTCGGTAAAAAAAATTCTTGACCAAATGCGTCTAAAACCTGGTCCAAACCGCATCCTAAAATCGGAGAGAGAAAAGGAGAGCATTTATTGTTTACAATCCCGCAATTTTTGCGAATCCGCGGGATTGATTGCTTTAATCCCGCGGGTTTGCGGGATTGAGATTTTGGTGCGGGATTGCATTCCCTAGTTTAAACGTTATAACGTTTAAAAGAATCAATAAAATTCTAAGAAATACTGCTTTAAAAAGGCAGCAGAACAAATCCAAAAACATTTCCAGGTTGCCTTTTCAAGAAGGAGAACTATTTTATTATTAACATTTAAAAAAAATGTATTCTTTATAAAAAGAATTTACTTATTCTGCAATGATTACGTTATGGTAATAACTAATCCCGTTTATATTTTTCCAAATTTCTATGCCATCTTAGAGAAGAGTAAATAAATATGAAAATACGATTCAAATGTTTCCCTTGGCTGTTCACTGGTTGAAGCATGCACGGTTAAAGCCCTAAAAATCCTAAGGGCCCACGTACATGGACCACATATTTACTGTTTAATCAACCACAATTTGCTATCAAGTTGAATCAACTTTTGCAGTTCATTCGACTACATCTCGACCACATTCTTAAACTAGATTTGTAGTCCCATCAACTGCATCCTGCAGTCGATTTAACCACTTCTTCTTACAGTGCCATACTCTATATAGAGCGTCTGCTACCTCTCGCATGTACTTGTGATGTGTGTCATCAGTGTTTTACAAGTACACGATTTAATAACCATTTACTGGAGAGAACCTATATGCGGTAAACGACTTTTTTGTTGATGTTTAATCATGAACAATTTAGAACTTTAATTTTAATATTTTGATCATCTCACACACTGGTTAAAGGTCTAGTATTTAATATTTTATAACTCTTGATTTTATGTTATTATAACATGATTTTATCCATTTACAGTTTCCCTTTTGTAAAATTTTCTAGATACGCCTGTGTTCTGCAATGTCCATATATGTTTTATTTGTAATTTTATGACGTAATTTTTTTTTTGAATTGATTTGTATTGTATGACATTTTTTGTATTATTTATATATTTGTTTTTGTGCTTTTTTTGTTTTGCTTTTTCGATGAAGCTGTTTTGGCTTTTTGTACAATAAAGTTGTTGTTTTTTTTTTTTTTTTAACCACTACTGTTATGGAATTAAGGGTGGCTGCAACGACGCCGACGTCACAGTGTTTTGAAGTATATGGGAAAGCGGACAAAAAGGGAAAACTCGATTTTCACCGCCAGAAAATGTATTTACTTACATTACTAATAAAAGATAACATAATATTTTATATTTTAAACTAATTTTTATGATATAAAAATAAACTAAAAATATTTTTTGCAAAAAAAAAATTAATTATAATTTTTATGGAAAAAATCTTTTGCAGCCCAAAGGGTAATTATTTCTCATTATTAGTAAATAACAAATTAAAAACAAAACGTTCTCCAACCCAGTGTGAGTACATATCAAAGTAAAACCTCTGACGAGGGGCAGGGGACAAAATACTCACAATCTTTTAAGATGTTTATTTAGATTTAATTTGCTTCATAAAGAGAAGGGGGCGACATGTTTCGGTACTAACAATTCCCATCTTCAGGCCCAAGAAAGCTAAAATATACAGGCAGAATAATAAACAAATTCCAATAGTCATACATATGTCAAAAAATATAAAATACAATCACAAAACAAATTAAAAGATTAATTTTTTTTTCAAAAAAGGTTAAAAAGTTATTTCTGTCACAATTATTCAGTCACAGATAATATTATGGCAATCTCAGTTTGAAAATTAAAACAATTAAATTAAAATCATAAAGGGCAATAATTTAAGTTCAACAAGAAACGAAAAAACGAAAAAACTTCAAGAACTTTCTCACCTGGAAACGACTTTCTTCTTCTAAAAAAAATCGAAAACTTAAAATATCGCAGTTTTCCGCAGAAACTGAAATAATGGTACAATACTTGGGACAATATTACACGAAAAATCTCGTCTACCATTTTATACCATTTTTTTAAAACCTTAAATAAAATTACACTACTAATTTTCATTCAGACTCGATTTGACTTTTTGTAATGGCCATGTATATAAAAACAATGATCGAATTTAACAACAACTAATATGGAAAAAGAATGTACTTACTATAAGTGTTTTTCTCCATTTTGTGCAGCTAGGAAATATTCTTTTCATCTACACAATATTCACCCCAATTTAATTGAAAAATGCGGTCACTTAAACACAATTCCACTATAATAAAAATACTGATATTCAATTTTTGGTATTTGCATTGCTGCTCATGTATCATTTTTTTTCATATATTTTTTGGTGATTATAGGCCTTCCTAAGGCGATAAATAATAATATTTGTATAAATGCAAAACAGGCTTTAACTGGTTTTTGTCCATAGAGCGCTACACTGTGCGACGCCTCGTAATCCTGCTGTTAGAACATTACAATTGGTTTTTGTATATAAAAACCAATTGTAATATTTTAACAGCAGGATTGCGGGACGTCGTTGCAGCCACCCTAAAACAGTATGGAAATTTGAAAATATAAAAACGAAATTAAGAACCAAATTTAAAACAAGCATAATTTTTTTATAAAAATTGCAATTTTCTCAAAATGTTGCTAATAAAAGCTTTTCCTTTTGCAAAAACAATCCGGGGACATACTGGTATACTATAACATTGAAATAGTACTAACATTAATATAGTACGTACTGTATTCTACTTCTAGAAAATTGAAAGTACATATTTCAAAAATAGAGAAATATCGATAAAATAAACATTAATAAAATTTACCTTGATTTTAATCCTAACGACTAATTTTAAATTAATATTTTACACAGTGTTTAGAAATTTTTTTGGGGGGATTTTTCGAACAACCTGAATAAGTATTTCAAAAATAATTTTAAAATGCTACCCAAAAAATAAAATATCAAAATATAAAAGTTTTCATAAATATAAATATTTAGAATTGGGTAAATATTTAATAATAAATTGGAATAAATACTTTGAACTTTTAGGCTCCAACTGATTTAAATTTATATACCCGTTTTCGTCTAATAAAATATGTAAAAAATGCACCTTACCTTTTAAAAGAAACTCCGAAATGAAGAATCCTAACAATAATCTAGCTCCAATCATGTTTTTTGATTATTTTCTTTCAAGTATCTCGTTCAAAAACTACCAAAAATATGTATTATCACTATCACCAAACCACCGAAAACTATGTCACATATGTGTCACTTTCGATAAACAATCAAAAAAACACAAACGCACTGTCAAGTTTCTCGGTCCTTATAAACAAAACAACTAATAAATAGTTTTTATAATTGTCTTTTTCTTCGTATTTTAATGTCAAATCCACGTGAAAGCAAACGCACAAACGTCCAATACTTTACGCAGAAAATTCAAAATATTTCGCGTCGGTAAAAACTTGGTAAAGTTTCCGAGAGGCGGCTCGCGGGTTGGCAATCGACGCTGCCAAAGGCTGCTGCGATTGTCGTCGGAATTCGACGCGCGACTGGTGCCGAGCGTCGGCTCCTGCGATTTTGCCGCTCTTCGCCCATGGGCGGAAAGCTGAACGCGCAAGGGTAGATTTCTTGTTTTTTCGGCGATGATGATCGTGGTAGGTGCTGTTATTTTATCATGATTGGAGTTTATCTTTGAATAAGAAGACTAACGAAGGAGCATAATGCTATCCGTGTATTCATGCATGGTGGGCGGAAAAGCCACCATAAAAGCTCTCTAGGGTGGGGATCCTTGACAGTTCTGTTTGACGATTCATTTGACACATTTGAATTTGATTTGAAATTTTGTGGATTTGTCAGTCTTTACGGAGCTTATTTTATGTTATTTATTATTTATTCTACTACTGATAGTTGTATAAAGGTAGTAAATCTAGATGGAAATTGTGGCAGAACATAAATTAACAGTGACACTATCGCGATTTATCGAAAAAGACTCTAAAATAGTTGGTTGTTTAGCGTGCGGTAGATCTCGGCAAAAATTGAGTGAAACAACTTTTCGCTAGTAAGTGACTATATAATATACATACGTGTAGTAAACCGATTATTTAGGAAATTCACTTAAATTAATAAATTATATATTTTTCTTGCATTTTTAGCTTTTGTTATTACTTGTCAAAGATTAGATGTCAAAGAATTTAGATACGTTAATTTGACTTACCTGCTTCAGTAGCGTATCGGATGTTTGTGTTAATAAGTAGCGTATCGGATGTTTGTGTTAATAAATACTTATTATAACTTATCTATTTTTATTAGAATTATATATTTTTATAACAATTTTAATAACTACCAACATTTATTCACAACGTAAAATAAAACCACAAATTATTGAGTCTACCCCACGTCTACCCTACATCATAGTTTTACATTTTTTAAACAAAATTAGAACGACACTGATAAACCCGAATTTAAGTCGGCCATATTTGAGGCCCATCGCGGTGTACCTAAGATTTTTGATATGCTCCTTTCTTAGTCTTCTTATTCAAAGGAGTTTATAAAAAAAACATGATGTTTGTCATATGGAGTATATGGAGCATCAATTTCTTAATTCATAGACCGCTTACCAACGAAAGATATGAATAAAGGCGCGTCATAGACTTAAAATAAAGTATATACAGGGATGGATGGGCCATATGGGAAAACGGAAAAATTCACGGTGGGCCGGTGGAAAGATGGGCCGGACCGGTGGGCCGGCCAGTCCCGATCAGAGCTTAAAAATAGATTGGACTGACAAAATTTAAATGGTTAATCTTCTAACTAAAGTGACGTAAGATTCTTAGACTCCATAACTAACTAATCAATTGGCATCATCAGTATAATCGTCAGTTGCTTTTAAACATAAACACCAGTTTGTAAATTAACTATTGTAAGATGTCTTTCTCTGAAACACTTATAATTTTAATAAACATCTGTTGTTTGTTCGGTTTGAAATTTTTTTTATACAAGGTGACTTATAAGTGCAAATATTTTCACGACTGGTAGATCTCAATAAAAGAAACATAATATATTCTCTTTACCGTGTTTCAAATAAGCCCAACCGAGTTATTAAAGTTTGAAAATTAAATAAAATATATTTTTAAAAAAAATTTAAAAATTTAGCATTACCTCAGAACACTGGGTCTAGGTTTTTTTAGTTTGAGTCATGGCATTATCATAAAAGATGCCAAATGTACAAAAAGTATAAAGGAAAAGTAATAAGAACAATCAGTCATCACCTTTGTCGCTATTCGTTTACTCATTTCTCTGAGTAAAAATATTAATATAAACATACATATATTATTATATTTCATTCGCCATTTTGTCAAGTACAAACGCGTCTAAATATTCTTAATATAATTTATAATATTCGTCTGAGAGATAAAATAAAAAGCAGCATACAGTGATGCCGGGCTTTACGTGTGTAGGAAGATGTGTGTAGAAACAAATAAACTATACTGAAATGAAAATAACATATCTAAGCTAAATATAATCTATTACAGCTGTAGTAAAATGAGTAACTAATTGTAAAAAATAAAGTTCCAATCCTAGAAAACATTTTTCATAAACGCCTACTTGTGCGGTTTGAAATTTTGATGCAAAATCCATAGAAGATATATGTCGTATCAACCCAAACATTTATCTCTTTTTATTATGCACTACTCAGAACAATTATCGCATATTTGAATAAAAATAATTATTACATATTTCTAAATGAAGCATGCATTTTTCTGCCTTTCTCTTATGAGTTTTTTTAGAATAATTCGGGTACGCACTAACATGTCATTTTTAGTCGGCCGACTATTTAGTTGCATAAGTGAAAACAATACATTCTTAAGGAGCCCATCGGCACAATATTTGATTACATTGCGTAGTCTTTGGTTATGCGCTGACAGGCAATTTTTAATCGGCCGACTATTTAGTTGCATATTTGTAACCAATATATCCTTATGGAGCCGCGCTCATATGCAATCAAATAGTCGGCCGATTGACTTCATGCATATGTATTGTTTTCATTTTCGCAACTAAATAGTCGACCAAACCAAACTTCACAGTATATCCATACTATTTAAAATTGTAAGTCAGGGAATTCAAAGTGTCTTGTTTTTCAAATTAATATTTCTTTTTAGAAAATATGCGATAATTGTTTTGAGTTGTGTATTTGATTTTCCATTTACTAATTTATTTTCTACATCACTGTTAAAATTCAGACTACCATTTTATTGTGATGACATATCTATATACTAATATCCTTCTAATATATAAAATCCTTCCACGCGGTATATTCAAATTTCAAAAACTGTCTCAGTTGTCGATGGCTCCGGCTTATATACTCTATTGACTGCTTCTCGAAATTTCCCCAATTCTCGAAGCGTACTTCTTCATACCAGACAATTCTATTGTCTGATTCCCTTACTTCTCGACTTGACTAAAAGATGGCGCCTGAAAAAGTCTTTTAATTTCTGGCGGATACGTTGCGGTTGTGCAGGCAACCAGTAATACATTTTTAATTTCTGGCGGATAGGCCATTTTTCTTGACATTGCCCCCTTCTCAAATTTGATCGTCCCGATCAAGGTTTCCTGTCTGATATCCTTCAATCGATCCAGATGAACTACTTTCATCTTACTTCTAGGGCTGCGTTGAATCCGGTACACAACATCATTTATCCTCTTGATGACTGTATAAGGACCTTCCCATGCTGGAGTTAACTTTGGGGACCTCCCTTTCTTGCGCTGTGGGTTATATAACCATACCATATCGTCCTGTTGAAATCCCGTAGAATTGGCTCTGAGGTCGTAACGAGCTTTCATCCGGTCACTGGCTAGCGTAATCTTACTTCTTACGGCCTTATGAATTTCCATTAACCTTTCCTTCAGTTCATCCGCGTAGTCCTCTACATTTGTGGTGCCGTCGTCTGGTGATCCGAACACCAAGTCACAAGGCAACCGTAATTCTCGACCAAATAAAATCTTCGATGGTGAAAGTCCGGTGGTGTTGTGAACTGCACTTCTATACGCCATTAGGAACAGCGGTATGTGTTGATCCCAATCTCTTTGATGTTCGGCCACCATTTTCGAGAGGTGTTCTTCAATGGTCTTATTGAATCTTTCGACCATCCCATCAGACTGCGGATGTAAAGCTGTTGTCCTAGTCTTGTGAATACCAAGCAGATCACACATCTTCTGGAACAGTCTTGACTCGAAGTTCCTTCCTTGGTCAGTGTGAAGCTCTAAGGGAATTCCAAATCTACTGAAGACATTATGACTAATACTTCAGCTACAGTCGATGCTTCTTGGTTTGGAATGGCAAAAACTTCTGGCCATTTACTGAAATAATCCATCGCCACTAAAACGTACTTGTTGCCCTTGTGCGTTTCAGGGAATGGGCCTGCAATGTCAACAGCGATTCTTTCGAATGGCAGTCCAACGTTATATTGTTTCATTTTTCCCCTAGATCGAGTGCTTGGTCCTTGGCTGGCTGCACAAATTTTACATTGTCGACACCATTTCTTGACATCTTCGCAATAATCCACCCAGTAAAAGCGATCTCTCAGCTTGCTCAAGGTCTTGTTTACCCCAAGATGGGCTCCAGTTTTACCACCGTGAATTTCTTCCAATACCTGGGTAACTTTCTTCCTTGGTACCAGTAACTGAGTTGTTACTGTGCTGCCATCCGCACTTTCCCATGTGCGCTTTAACAATCCATTCTCAATAACCAGTGAATTCCACTGAGCCCAGAGAGCTTTGAAAACGAGCCCTCTGTCCGCAATATCCTGCCACGGTGGTCTCTCGCCGTTACCTTCCTTGAGCCGTAGTATTGCTCCGATGTCTGGATCTTCCATTTGATCTTTCCTCAATTGTGTCGTCGTCCACTGTTCATCAGCTCCAAGCTTAAAACTCCTTATTCTGATAGTGCTTTCGCGATGTTTCATTTTCTTGTCCAAGGTAGCTCGTCGTCGATCTAGGTCGTTGTCGATAATTTGTACCCGTCCTACACGGCACCCAACGGTTTTCTCTAGTTTCCCGAACACAGTCTTCTTGGTATCACCAGGTATCATCACAATTTTCGATAATATTTCTTCCATATTTCCTGGTCTCTTCTCTTTAGATACAGAAAATTCCTCATTTCCGATTTTCAGGATGTTTCTATGGTGATCAAACGAAAAACCATGTTGACTGATCACATCCATACCCATGATAAAATCATCTTCAATGTCCGCCACTAAAACGCTATGCCGAAACTTCAAATTCCCTAACTCCAATTCCATGAAAGCCTCTCCCCGTACAACGGCCATTTCCCCCGTAACTGTACGTAAATACACTCTTCTTCTAAGAGGCATCATCTTCAATCCTCGCACTGAGTTAGTCTGCACCAACGATACCATAGCGCCTGTGTCCACAGTCATTCGATTTCTTCTACCATTGACCTTCCCGTTGATCACCAAACTGTCAGCGGTTTTTCCTAGACTCCTAACGGAAAACATCCTAGGGGCTCTGT